AGTAGTAACAAGTGCCTTACTAGTAGTAACAAGTGCCTTACTAGTAGTAACAAGTGCCTTACTAGTAGTAACAAGTGCCTTACTAGTAGTAACAAGTGCCTTACTAGTAGTAACAAGTGCATCGCTAGTAGTAACAAGTGCCATACTAGTAGTAACAAGAAGCTAGCAGTAAAAAAGTGCATCGCTAGTAGTAACAAGTGCCTTACTAGTAGTAACAAGAAGCTAGTAGTAACAACTGCATCGCTAGTAGTAACAAGTGCCTTACTAGTAGTAACAAGAAGCTAGTAGTAACAAGTGCATCGCTAGTAGTAACAAGTGCCTTACTAGTAGTAACAAGAAGCTTGTAGTAACAAGTGCATCGCTAGTAGTAACAAGTGCCTTACTAGTAGTAACAAGAAGCTTGTAGTAACAAGTGCATCGCTAGTAGTAACAAGTGCCTTACTAGTAGTAACAAGAAGCTTGTAGTAACAAGTGCATCGCTAGTAGTAACAAGTGCCTTACTCAAACAAAAAAAGGTTTTCTTCCGGGTTCCCGAGACGAAAGCGCAAGCGAAAGCGCAGGTTTCGACATCTGGATTCGTGGCTTTTCGCATGCATGGTTTTGCTTTTACACAACTGTTCTTATTATTCATTTTTTAAAATCAGCTTTGTATTCTCTTTTAAATTGGAGGCCATCGCTAGGTTGGAGGCCATTGCTAACTGTCCAACATGTGAAGAGTCAGTGTCTTCTCAGGAGGTCGGTGGTCATCGATCTGGGCTGCCACGCAGGTGGTTGGTCTCAAATCATCTTAGAGCGCATCAACCGTGAGGGCTTCGTTGTTGGGGTGGCAACAGGCTCAGCGAGAAGAATTCTTCTTCTTTGTGCACACACACACACACACCTTTTTGTTCTTTCAACAACTTATTACACCTTTGCTTTTCAATGTCCATTTTGTTTTTTTGCTTTATGGCTTTGGTGCATTTGGCTTCTCAAATGTACTTCGCTTCCCTTCTTCCGCTCTTCCCTCGTGAACTTGTCAGCTGAAGCTCCTCAGGACAAGGTTCTCATTGAGCCACTGGAGAATCACCACTTTGTCCAGGGAGACATCCAGCATGCCGCCACCATCAGGAACAAAGCCGCACAGCTGTCAGCTTTTGGTCAATGCCCTCAAGGTACAGTCTTGGACTTGACTGTGCTAAGCAGAATGCTACAGAAAACCACGTCTTCTACGAAGGAAGAGCAACACAGAACAACAAAATGCTATTCAGAAGAAAAAACTAGGTTGGAGGCCATTGCTACTAGGAGCAAGGACGCTACTAGGGGCTCCTGGCCGTACTACTAGGAGCAAGAAGCTGGGCATCCCTACTAGGAGCAAGGACGCAAACTTTTCACTCCTGAGAGCTCCACCTCAAGTAGTAATATGTAGTAATGCCGTTGTTACTAATAGCTTCTTGTTAGTAGTAAGAATGCTCCTAGTAGCGATGCCAGGAGCCCCTAGTAGCGTCCTTGCTCCTAGTAGTAAGGCCAGGAGCCCCTAGTAGCTCCACTTCAGACCGAAGTGGCCTTGGATGTCGCAATCACTTGGCTGTAGCTTCTCCAGGAAGGTGGAAGAGCTCCTTGGCGGACGCCAGGCAACGGAAGGGTTGGAAGTTTGGAATGCCTAGAATGAGTTTCATTCGAAAATGCTTATCCCTTAAGAAGTCAAGGGACTCAAAATGCTGTGGCATGGGACCCTCAAAAAGAGAGCTCCTTCTTCAATTCTTTCCTATCTTTCGCTTCAAGTTGTCCAAGGGGTGGCCTGCCAATCCGGGTCGTTCGTGGAGTCACTCGATGTCACGATGTCTCATCTCTGTTTTGTTTCGACACTCTTCCTTTCTCATGGATAGGAGGTCGCTCATTCTCGACTCTCAACGTGTTTTGTTGAAGGCAAACTTGGTGCTTGCTGACTTGGCCGAACACTTAGGGCACCAAAGTGCCGGGGAAGAAGATAAGTGTAAGCCCTAAGTGTAAGAGATTGCCGCTCAAAGAATTAAAAGCTGAGTGAAGTCGAAGCACAACATGATGCAACATGTCGTTTCGCCGGAACTCGACCGATTTTGATTCGAGGATCTTGTTCCTAGTAGCGATGCCCTTTGCCCCCAGTAGCGTCCTGTTGCTAGTAGTAAGGCCAGGAGCCCCTAGTAGCTTCTTGTTACTACTAGTAAGGCACTTGTTACTACTAGCGATGCACTTGCTACTAGTAGCTTCTTGTTCCTAGTAAGGCCAGGAGCACCTAATGCGTTCGTGCTTCGAGGCTCCACGCATGTCCGGTAGCCGCATGGATGACCACCTGGCCTCCATTGATTTAGCGAGATCAGCCCTGCACTGGGCCTTAAGCTTTCTGAGACACAACGGCACCTTTGTGTCTCGGTGGGATGAGACACGTCACGCGCGCGAAAAGGTCCTAGTAGCCTCCTTTGCTTCTAATTACACTTAATTCTAATTAAATTCTATAGCTTCTTATTGTTTCTACTAGCTTCTTGTTCCTAGTAGTAAGGCCCTTGTTCCTAGTAGTAAGGCCAGGAGCCCCTAGTAGCGTCCTCTTGCTCCTAGTAGTACAGCCAGGAGCCCCTAGTAGAATTCCTTGCTCCTAGTAGCTGTCCGGTCTACAGCCTTCTATTAATGGCCTCCAACCTTCTAGCGATGGCCTACTACAGTTGATATATCTAGATGCCACTAACAGATCGGGCTAACACAGTTGTCACCTGTCGTGCTTTCATGACAACTTCCTTCTCCTCTGTATCAAGAACTTGTGTTTCTTTCAACTTGTTTCTCCTCTTTTCAGGTGACGAAAGTCTTTGATGGCGCCTCGTTGGAGAACTTCAAAGTCCAGCTGGCGCAACACTTCGCCAAGGCTCGGGTCTGTCGCTGAAGCAAAGCGCCTCGGAACAGCATCGCCACTAGGGGCGCTCCTGGCCTTTCCTACTAGG